TCTTATATTAGGTGCAGTATAAATAAAAAGTTTCGTGGAGGAAACGAAAGTTAGCTATCTTCACTTCCTCACTTGTGCCTGTTTCTCTTAAAGCCACAGACGCGCTTTTAGGAAACACGCCCCCTTCACGCTCTATGTGTGTGTGTGTGTGTGTGTGTGTGTTTGTTTAGACGTCTTTGTGAGGACTTATGGGGGACAAAATGTTCGTCCCCACGAGTTGAAGGCATTTTTGAGGCTCAAAATGTGAGTTTAGGGTTAGAGTTACAATTAGTTTATGGTTAGGTTTAGGCTGATGATTAGGATTAGACATTCATTTTTGATGGTTAGGGTTAGGGTAAGCGGCTTGGGAAAGCATTATGTCAATGGGATGTCCCCACGAGGATAGCAAACCAGACATGTGTGTGTGTATCGGAACTTTTAAAGAATTATTAATAATTATTAAGCGCGGTATCACGGGCTGGGGATGGAGGGGGCATGGGATATATAAAATTAATACTGAAGCAAACCGCTTGAAATCCACCGGTTATTATAATTCCGTCTCAGTTGCGCAGTTTGCAGTTCTGTTATAACATCACACGTGTTGTTCTGTTGAGCGGTGGGAGCAACAATGTCTCACACTTGCTCGGTTTGGTTGATTCAGAGCGACCCACCAGATGGCTTTGCAGAGTGCGAGAGCTGCAGTGAACTCATTAATTATACATTTAATAAAAAATAACACGCACTGCTGTTCCTGCTCTGGTGACGTCATGCTGGTACACAGGAGTAAGAATCTACAAACTTTACTTATTCCAGAGAAAGATCTTTAGATCCAGACACTGCCTGCATTATGGATAGAAAGCTGAAAGCCGGTTTCAGTTGCTGCTTGTTTGTGGCTCTCTCTGCCTTCAGTAACTGAAAAGCATGCTCTATTGGTCACAAATAAACACTAGTGGCACGGTTCCACTGCCAGCCATACATGCTCAAACTATAACACTGTCTCTACCATGTCTGACAGATGGTGTTTGAGATCTTAAGGTGTGTCTCTCCTTCGACGCTCAGGTTTTCACTTGTCCATAATGACTTTTAGTTTTAGACAAGCAGGATCTTTGATATGCTTTTTTGCAAAGTTTAATCTAGCCTTCTTCTTCTTGTGTAACCAGTGGTTTGCTTCATGTTTTAAACCCTCTATATCTGCATCTCTTGATTGTAGATATGGTTAATCAGCCTCCCTCCTTGAGCGCGGCCGTCCCTGGCCTGAAGTTGTAAAGCAGTTTTTCTTAAACCAGGAAAGAGTTCTGTGATCATGTTTCAGAATTCTTCACAGAAAATTTCATATCAACAAAACTTTTAGAACCTTTTTTTCCCCAAAATGTAGAAAAACACTGTGTTGTATCTGTAATAATCACTCGAGATTTCATTGTATTTCATCTTATAGTTACTGTATATTCATTCACACACTCTGTTGTCCACATACTGCACGAGAGTGAAGTCGAACCATACCACAAACCTCGTGTGAGGGCCAGAATAAATACTTCCAACACTCATGAAGCTAGGCTACACGATGACAGCGCTTTATTAGAGTTAACAGCACACTGTGCAGCTTCTCTGCAGTGCAGATGAAAAGCTGTGTCACTGTGGTTTAAACATGAAGAAAAAGAGACACGCACACTAAAACATGGTCCACTGACACACAGCACAACACAGTCTACACAAGCATGACAAAATGAGCAAAGTTCAGGCATTGTGTTGTTTTTTTTATCTGAGCTGTTAAAGACAAAGAACCAACCAGGGTCAAAAGAGTAAACTATGAATAGTACAAAAAAGACATTTTGGCTCAGCCCATAATGAATTCTGTGCATGCCCTGACCCATGATTCGCTGTTTCTGAGGTGTTGCACAGGACTGACATGTCTGCATGACAGACAACTGTAAATAAACTAGTTCCACGGGTTGAACTGCAGCTTTGCACAGAGTCTATATTTACTTCCAGTGCCTTCCAAAACCAAACAAGAAAAATCTGACCCCAGTTCAAAGGGTGAATTGAGATAAAGATTAAAGTTGAATCATTCTTTGCATTTGTCTGGACCTGTCACATGTAACCAGGTTTCTGGTTTCTAGCTTTCTGGTGTTACGCGTCAGAGGCCTTTCTCCTTTTCAGTCAGATTTTCAGGTGACTTCGAGACTCCAGGCTCAACGTACAGAAAGTGGAAAAGATCCAGAGTGTCTGGTCCACTGTGAGTAGTTTCAACATGTCCTTATGCTGCTGATCCACCAAGTTTCTGAGGAAGAGGCAGTTTCTCTCAGCGGGCCCTCGACAGCATTAACTCCACACTTTTTTATTTTTATTTCCCACCCTTTAATTAAAATACAAGTCTCTCATTGTTTGAAGCCACACATGCTAACCCCATCCCCATGACCTTTTGATCCCACATCATTCTCCACTTTGTTTTCTTCATCCACGTCTATCCGCTCCCCACAGCCGCCTTCCTCATCATTTCCTCGTCCTGGACGGAGAGCTCCGTCAGCTTGCGTCCTAGCCGCTCGTGAAGGTCCAGATATTTGGCCACGCAGCGGTCCAGGCAGACCGACTCACCCTTGGTCAGCTCTGCCTCCTTGTAATGTGGCGGTACGCACTTCCTGTGGCAGGCATTAGTCATTCTGAGAGGAAAGGAAGGAAACAGTCAAGATTCTTCAGTATGAAGAGTGATGATAAAAATACATTTTTAAAACATAACAAACGTGTTACTACATGATGCATTCATGCATAAGCACCTTATTGTGGGGTCCCCATGACTTGCTTACAACAGTCACTTAGTAAAACAGAACAGCGCCATCTGCTGGAGTTATTTTGTGAACCTAAAGTTGGCTCTGAATACTCTCCTTTTAAAATTCATAGTTTCATATGACCTGATATAATAGTTATTTAATTTCATAAAGATGCTAAATTAACCAACTTTTAGGTCAAGAAAAGGTGCATTTAAGAAGAGTATTTAGAATTTCTGCAAATAAAATGTATTCTGGCTCATGTCACAGCAGAAATGTGCTTCCCGGTGTTGACACAGATCCTTCATCAGAGCAGAGAGAGACACAGATTCAGTTTAATTATATACTTCAAAGAAGAACTAGCAAAAAGTTAAATGGCAACTAATTACTTCCTTTGTCCTCAAAGTCTTCACAGGGATAAGCCCCGAGGACAGAATTTCATACATCCTTGCCCAACAAACACCACATGACCACCGACGGACATTAAACCCAGTTCCTCTTCACTGCAGGAGATTCACAAAGAGACCAAACTCAAAACACATGAAAGTCATCAACCTCTCATTTCATGTTGCTGAATGAGTCTATCTAACAGCACTTCATCTAGCCAAATATCTTTTAATACAACACCATGCTCATCAGAAGAAGCCTTAAGTTCCTTCTGCAGGTCACCATCACCGTTTGCCTTAGGAGACACAGTGATGGTGACCTGATAAATCACATTTCAGTGGATTATTTCTTTAACCCGATTAAAATTATTGGTTAGGTTCTTCACATCCAGCCCCAGGATTCAAAAAACTGCAACAAGGCAGACGATAAGCCACGAACGCCTCTAACTGCCTGAAAGGCCCAGTTACTGTCACTGTTGTGGTGCACTACAAGAAACAGTTAAACTGTTAAAAACAGGCATTTTACACTATGTACTTCTAAAAGTATTGCCAGCATTGGGATACCAATAAAATCCCCTAAATCTGAAACATCAACTTCCTGACGTGTCAAAATGTTTCCTGTGAAAAGATACTAAACATAACAAACAAACATGACATGCCTCGCCTACCACCAGACCCAACTAAACAGAACAGCCCATCTGACAACGTCCAACAACTGTGTGACGCCATCACGTCAATACAGACCAAAATCTCTGAGGAATGTTTCCACCATTTATTTATATCTATGCTAAAGGCAAAGGGGGAATTATCACGTATGAGCAAGCACTAATCAGGTGGCCAGTAACATATCTTTAATGGCTCTAAGATGTTGCCAGGTATCATATGAATGTAGAGAACTAGTTAACTAGCATTTGATAGAATTATTGCTCACTTCCATCCACAAAATGTAAACAAACATTAGTATTTGGTTTATGGAGTGATGTCAATAACTGGGCGCCATCAAATTACTGCAGAAGAAAATCCCAGTAAGATGATAGAGAGCCAAGAGCCAATCAAACCTCAGTCAAAAAAGTAAAGCAAGCAAACTGCTTGTTTCTTGATCTGAATGGTTGAACAAACCCATAACTCATTGCTCATGTATATTTATTAGTCTCTCTCAAGCCAAAAACACCTGCATAAAAGTACATAAACTATTTTCTTTGGCAACTGACTGAATCTGACTCAGTGGATTTTAACTGCAAGACTTTATTAAAAGCACATGAATGTATAATTTGTGCAAGGTCATGAAAGGATAAATATTGACCAGGCTCGTCTTTTCTTCATTCAGAGATGCAGGTCTGTGCTGCTTCTTCCAAGTATAAAAATACTTGTGATCAAAACCACTTAACTTAATATGAATGAATGTACTCTTACACCAGTGACGGCATTTAAGTAGATTACTGTGTTATGACACAAGGACACATCTTTATATTATGAGAAAAAGCCGTACTGTGCTTATACTGTAAAATTGTGACATGTGAAGTAAATTCAGTGAGTTAAGCACTAAACGCAGGCCTTTAATTTTTAGTCACTATAGCTCTTTTTAAAATAAATGCTATCCCACACTGGATTTAACCCTTGCCAGCCTTTAGTAGAAGCCACCCTTTGCCTTAAACATGCCGGCTGGTGGGCCTTTATAATAATGAGCTTCACCAGCAGGACACTTGCTCGCATTAACGATGAGCTGTACAGGCTCAGCTTCACTAAACAGTAATTATCTTTGCACATTATTCTGGCACACTGTAAATAAATGTAAGTTTGACACATAAAAGCCGCGACACTTCACAGCAGACTGCTGTGGCTAGCTGAGAGGTTAGCTTGTTTGGGCTTTACCGGTTGTACATGTCAGCCATCATCTCCACCTCCAGCTCCGCCGCCAGCTGCTGCGCCTTCACAGGATCCATGGCTCCGCTTCAGTTCTGCTCTCACCGGGTCTCGAACCACAAACACGCCGTCCCGCAGAGCCTCTCCTCCGGACAGCAAGCAAGGAGCACTACCCGCTACTTCTGTAACCTTCAAACCTGCACGAAAACACGTGTGTGCCGTTTCCCTCACACACTTCCGGTGACAATAAAGTTGGATTCAAAAAGCAGAAAGCGGAGCGAGCAGGAAGCGCGCCCTCTACCGGTGTGTGTGTGTATTTCTATTTGTCCAAAGTAAGATAAGAGCCTCACAGGGAAGTGAAGGACAAAAAACCTGCTTAAGTTCAAACTGAACATCAGAATGAGGAAGAAAGTTGGTTTGTTTTGTATTTCTGAAACTTCTGTCTCCATTTATTTATTCATGCTATTTGTATTTTATCTATTAGTACATATTAACCGGCATATGTGTGTGGACACCAGAGAAAGAATTTCATTGTACAGAGAAATGCTTTTCTTTGTACACATGACAATAAATGCTTTGAATCTTCTGAGATGTTCCAATGCAGAGAGATCAGAAAAAGATCAAATGTCCAGTGAGCACCAGCTCTCTGGGTAAAAATTAATTGTAGATGGCAGAGGACAAAGGAAAATGGCAGACTGCTGCAAGCTGATGAGCAGGCAACAGTAACTCAACTAACCACCCTATGCTTGGTTTTGGGGTTAGAAAAAACTGCTTTGTAATTGGACGTCTCGGTTTCTTCTGCAGTATTTGGATGGTTCTGGTGTAAACATAAAAGCATAGATTTACCTTGCTTTGTGTGTCAAGTCCATCCCTTTATGACCACAGTGTACAAATCTCCATATGTCTGCTTCCAGCAAGACACTCAAAGGGCCTCCATAGATACCAGAGCTCAATCCAAACTATTGCATTATAAATGTGTAGCTCATAAATCTGGGGAGCAAACCAGCTGTAACATGTGATGCTGTCATGTCAATATGGACCAAAATGGAAAAGGAATATTTCCAGCACTTTGTTAAATCTATGCCAATTAGAATTCAAGAAAAATGTAACTAATAATGTGGCCAGTGAGTGTATATTCTGTAGTGCCCTCGTGTTCAGCTATGGTGCTTTTTAAAGAAAGCAAGCAGTCACATGAAAACGTTTAATAAACCATAATTATATTATGTACTGATGTACATAAAACAGTTTTACAAATATAGACTTAAAACAACAGAGCTTTTCCACAATGGAAACATACAGAGGGACATCACTGAAGGCCACTCAAGTGCCTTTTCCTCTATTCATCAGACAATTTCGCTGAAAATGTAAAATTTATAAAATTGACAAAAGTAACTTTTTCTTTAGAATATTATTAAAGGAAATGAAACATCTTTTTGAACCGTATACAGAAGGAACTAAACGAAAACCCAAATCCGTGAAAACATGAAGTGAAGAATGTAAAAATGAATCTTTATACGCAACTTCATGTGACATGTGAACATAAACACAACCAGAACAGAGACAGCATTAGAGTGAGAGCCGACCACTGGACGGGGTAGAAAATACACACGTACATGACGTTACTCTGCCTCGTCTCCAGTCACGTCAATCTCATTCACATCATCTTCCTCATCTTCATTCGGAGTCATGTCTATGTTGTTGAGGAACCCCTCACACTCTCTGGTCTGAGATGCTTTTTCTGGGGAGCAAACCAGAACATCCACCTCTTCTTCTTCCTCCTCCTCCTCCTCCTCTTTTCCCTTTTTGTCTGTACTGGTTATCTTCACGGTCAAGGGCTGCAACATGATGTCCAAAGCTGTGTTTTCTTCAGGCAGGAGGGTGTCACTGTGAGAGGAGCAGTCATCATTGAGGAATGGAGACCCCGTTGTATCAGATTTCCCTGTGCCACAGAAGGAGACTGTGAGGGTAGCAGGAGCATGTGCGTGCATGTTTGTGTGCAAGCAGAAAAAGGAATACTCACACTTTCCGATGATAAATAACTGATCAATAGTCAGCTGCCTCTATAGCCAGCAGTGAGCTTTTGACGTTAGTGTCTCATCTGCAAACACCGTCAGCAAATAAAACACAAGATCAGCTGCCTTTCAAGTGATTCTGTTCTTGTTCTGCTCTGCAGCCCTGGAGAGCTCAGCACACCAGCATCATCTCAGTCGAGTGGCCACTGAGCTCACAGTGCATCTCCAGACCAAACAAGAACTTTAATCACCAGCTGAAGTCAAAGACAGTGGAGCAGAAGTCCATCCACCTAGACCAGGGGTGTGGAACTCCAGGCCTCAGGTTTTAGATGTGTCCTTGATCCATCACAGCTGATTTAAATGGCTAAATTACCTCCTCAACATCTCTTTACGTTCTCCAGAGGCCTGGAAAGGAACTAATCATTTGATTCAGGTGTGTTGACCCAGAGCGATATCTAAAACCTGCAGGACACCGGACCGTGAGGCCTGGAGTTAGACGGTGACTGCCACAAGAGCAACCTGGTCAGGCTGCCACCTAGTCTTGGTCCTCCACAGGAAGGACCAGGGTTAAGTGGTTAGTTTGAAAATAACAGCTAGTAGATGACAGGAACCTGCACAGCCAAATGGAAAGAAAGCTTTATGGCATGCTTTAAATGCTCGAGTGCCATCTCACTGTTGTGACATAACTGAGGACATAAAAAAGGAAGAAACTAAATAGCAAAAGCAAACATGGACACATGCCTACAGAGAGAATTTTACAGTGTTTCCTACACAAAACACTGCATTCTCATTCCAAGGTAGATTTTTTATTTTAATGTAGTAGATCCACTGAGAAATGAAGGTGCCGTCCAACCAGACTGCAGGACAAACAGCACTTAAGTACATGTTGTTCATGCACTGGATTGTGCAACAGCACGTTTAAAAAAATGGCCGTATTAAAGCTGATGTCTGAACAGCTACTGAAATTCTGAGCAGACTTAAAGACAAAAAATATTAAAATGTAAATTTGCTCTATTGCAAGGTTTAACCTGAAATGATATTCAGTTTTTTTATTAGTTTTTCTCTTTTTTTATGTCTAAATCTGCATCTACTTTAAGAAAAGTTTTTTGGTCTCTTGAAGTGAAACTATGCGGCTTTGCGTCAGCCCACATGGGGGCGACACAAACACCGTGCCTTAGCTCCAACGTGACAGTTTATGGTCTGTGTTTTTACAGTTTACTCCCATCTGCAAGAGACAAATGGCCTGAAGCCACAGCACACTATGCCAACCCATCCTCGGAGGTGCCTGTGTGATTGGCATAGAGCAGAAAAATCAATACTACCAATGTAATCATTCATTCTGAATAACAACCTTCAAAACAAAATCCAATTAATTTACCATGGCAACAGAAACAGCAAAATTCAAAGTACCTTCATAAGGACTTCCCAGTGGTCGCTCTCTCTCCGGTGTCACCTTGGCTTCATCTTCTTCCACAACGTCTAAGGACACTGGGTGGCCTTCATCACCATCCAAACTCCTCTTCTCGCTCATACGACTGTTTGTCTCTGCAGACAGGCTCAAAAGAAGATTGTGATTTTTATCAACTGCGATGTTTGAACCTTTGTGATGTTCTTCAGAGTTTGTCCCGTCTTTAATGTCCACTCCTTTCTCCAATATGCCATCTGTGCCTGTTGCAGGTTCATGTGTTTCCTGGGTCTGTTTGGACTTCATTCTTCGTGCTTGTTGCCATTTAAAAAGCTTCTGAATGTCCTTCAGAGTGACCACGTGCCGCTGATTCACTGTCCTGGGTTTTACGTTACAGTCATTGGTTTCTTCAGCCTTTTCAGTGTGCTCGACACTCGCAGTCTTCTTCACTGGGCTGACCTCCACCTCGCTCTCATTCCTCCTCCGTTTTCTGCACGACTTCTCCATTTTTTTCTCCTCCTGCTCCTTTGGCAAGTCCCTGTCGACCTGCGCATTGTCGACATTTTCATTGTTTTCAACAACGGCAGGAACACTTTGTGTAGAGTCCTCTACAGGTCTTATTTTTCGGGGTCTACCACGTTTCCTTTTCGCGAGCGAGACGCCATCCTGACTCACAAGCTGAGCTCTGCTGACGATAGGCTTGAAAATGCAAGGCGTTTCAGGTGGGGTTGTGTTATTTGCTGCCTCTTGAGATTTTTTTATAAAGCCCCTGGTCCTGATCCGAGACTGCTTGGTGCCAAAGGGTTTTTCTTCCCTAATGTCAATGACGGGCAACATTTTGCTGGGTTTCCCTGGAAGTCCAGATGGTGCATTTGAAGACCTGATAGCCACTTCTCTTTCCTTCAATAGCACATTGTTACTCGACAAACTCACTGAACAATTCTTTGTTCCATCACTGACTTTTAAATCTTTGTACGCAGAACAAGAGCCGGTGGAGTCTTGTTGATAATTTGTGCGCCTTCTCTTCCTCCCGTCTCCTGTAGAGTCATCATGTCTATATTTGAAACTCTCCTTCAGCCTCCTGGAGTACGATTTTACTTCTGCTGCTGATTTTTTTCCTCTCTTTTTCAAGCTATTCCCTTTGCAACCTTCTGCACTGGTTCCTCTATTTGTTAAATGCAAATCCTTCTCCTGCTGCTCTTGCTTTGACTGGCAGCTGTGATCTGGATCTGGTGATGGAGATGTACTTTTATGACCTGTGCAAATGATGCTGCTAAAGGGAAACTGCAGTGAACCAGCGTTGTCCGAGAGCCAGGGTCTCCTACGTAAGGATGGCTGCTGCTGGACATCATGTTCAGGGTTTGCTGAGTTGTTGAGTAGAGGCTGACCTTTAGCTGCAGATGAACTTGGCTCTAATGGGGAGAGACGCTGAGGAAGCCGCAAGTCATCCATGCAAGGTGAGGAAAAGGTGGGTTTAGACTGTGTCCCATCTCCATTTGGCAGAGGCAAAAACTCGAGACTCTGTTGATCATCTTGTGAGGATGGTGGCTGAAATGCTGGGTAATGGAGTTTCTGGCCTCTGGTGGAGAAAGCTGAAGACAGGGCTGAGCCTGTGGTTGTTTCCGGATACAGAGAATTTTGACTTTTGAATGGGGGCAAACCCTGGCAGCTCAATCCCTCGATTTGCCATAAAGATCTGACAGCTGGGTTGCACTGGGGAGTCGGCTGCTGCTGCTGGATCAACTTGGGCTGGTTTGGAGCTGCAAAGCAACAATGGATACCTAACGAGCAAGCGGAAGGATGACTATCAATTCATCTTAAATACGTGAATTGTAAGCCCTGTATTTTTATAGACATTTTCTGTGACAATCAAAAAATCCAATTAAAAGTACCAATTAATAAGCTTCTAAAAACTGAGGAGGAAGGGCAGCAGGACGGGTAGCAGTGAGAGCACTTGAACTGAGACTTAAGTCAGGTTCAACTCAGTCTGCTTCTGTAATAACATGTAATGTGCTTTTAGAAAAAAGAAAGAAAAAGGTCCTACTGTGTTACTCTCTGAAAATACACCTCTGCCTTTTTAAACTTAGTATAAAAAGGACAGAAGTCTAAAACAGTCGTCTACAAACTGCTCAGCCTCAGCTGTCCCTCCTACTCACATCCAGATCAAATCTGAGCATCTTCAACTGTGCAACATCCAGCTCCTGCACTTTTTTGCCCATCTCCAAACCACAAACCTGCTTTACTCCCAGTACCTCTACTATTTGCAGATTCACTGTTACACCCGTCTCCCTCTCATTCACACACGTATTCTTTTTTTGCTTCTACTGACTTTTTTTTATTTCTCTTCTGTCCAGGCTCTCTTCCACCTGCTCCCTGCTCTCAGTTAATTCTTCAAATTCATTTTCTTTGCAGAAACACTGAAAAGTTTAATCCAAGGAACGAAGAACTGTTTGAGGTTTCAGACAAAACAAGGTATAAAAAATAATAAAGACAAACTGTAAGGCTTTACATGTTGTTAAAATGTAACTAAACAATAGGGCTGCCACGATTTGTCGACTAGTCACGATTACGTCGACTATTAAAATCGTCGACGACTGATTTAATAGTCGACGTGTCGTTTGAAGCTTTGTAAGATCACAAAAGACGCAGGAATAAGTAGCAGGATTTAAGAGTGTAATAACGGACTGAAACAGAAGATGGCAGCACTGCATGTACAAGGATGCCAGCTGCCGTTCAACCCCGAAGAAGAAGAAGAAGAAGCAGCTGTGTCCCAGAATTCATAGCGCGGCCCAGCTTAGTTTCCAACAATGGCGGCAGCTAGTTAGTTTTAATACTACTCTTATTATTCTGTCTGGGTCACAAAATAAACGTTTAACATATTTTCAGGCGAGAATGTAGCTGTGTAAACCTCAAATATCTGCTCAGTTTATCAGGACACCACATATTTTCAAAAGCGCTCCGACGTTTTCGGAGACGTCTGTTACCCACTAGCTCGATAGCTAGCCGGGGGCTAGGTCACTAGCGCCGTGAGAACACCGGACTCCCGGCAAATTGTTTTCAAACCCACCGCCGTCTTTCGCGACTCAGGTTAAATATATATGAGTCACTTAGATAAATTAAAAATGTTGTTGTTTGGCTTTTTTTTTTTTTTTTTGTATTTTATTTGTTCCTGAGTAAATCGGTTTGGCTGAGATTAAAGTTATAGTTTTTACACAGCTGAATAAACGTCAAGCAGACAGCTGATTATCAGAAGTGTGAGATGCTGGAGAATATACTCCGGTGTCCTGTTATATTTTAGATAGCAAGGAGTTTATTAAACTTTACCGAAACAATCTGCAAATTTCATTAAAATTGAATAAACTATCATCTTGTCTTTATTTTTAGTTAGCACCTTAAAAGCTTAAAGCTGTAAGCTAATGATAGTTATATAAGAGCAGATGCTGCTGGTGCAATAAGCTGTAGTTTTACGTCCAGTGGATGATGATCTGATTAGTCGACTAATCGCATAAATAATCGGTGACTAGTCGACTATCAAAATAATCGTTTGTGGCAGCCCTACTAAACAAACACAAAAATCACCAATAAATGTTAAATGCTGAACAGTAAACTTCAGTACATTCGCAGTGAGGGGTGGTCAGGATTTTTGAGTCCTTATTCTAAAATTGATCAATGTCTTGTCTCAAAATACTTAAAAACAAACAAACAATCAACCCCAATACTGTTAAGATGTAATACACTACTGCATGCAGAAGGTGGCAGTAATGGACCTAAAAACTGTTTGCTAGCCACAAACAATAACAGGCCAGTAATGAGACCCTGGAGCCTGTGGAGCAGTGAGGAGAGATGCTAAGGAGTCGTTAACAAAAGAATAAAAATACAGAAAACAAAAAAAACTTACTACGGGTCTGTACAACCATTTCATAATGTGATATTAAAAATATATGTGTATTTACAAAGAAAGCTTCTACCTGTCTCCACTGACGTCTGGTTGCTTTGCGACTCCAAATCCTGAAAGAAAGCAACCTCTGCTGCACTGGCAACAGGATCCATCCGACCCTGGGCTGCGTCACCCTGCGAAACTGGGACTCGGCAAACATTGTGGCTCGACTCCAACTTCTTACAGTTACTCTCCAAGTTGGGCAGGATGTTCAGGCTCATCATGACGTCCTCTAACAGCTTCTCTATCTGCTCGTCACACTCGTCCGCAGAGCCCTGCGGCTGAGGCACCGGCGCTGATTCAAGCTCAGTGTCGGGGTTTGAGGTGAAGCTGCTGCTGGAGAAAGACTGGGATTCAGAGGTGGTGCTGTGGTGTTCCTCTGGTTGTGTGGGAGAGCTGGTTACAGCAGGTGGAAGGTTCTGGATCTCTGGTTTCTGAACAGGGCATGGGGGGACAGGGGAGGCAGGAGGCTCGAGTTCCTCAGCATCTGTCTGTGGCTTTTTGAAAGATGAATAAGAAACCATTAAAACCATTACAAAATATCACCTTTCATTCAAACTTTAAAACAAAGGTGAATTCATCTGTCTGCAGATAAACTAGACTAACAAACTATTTTATTGAGGTGCTTCTCTGAAAATGAGTCCCCAACAGTTGCCTCTAAGTGCTTTATAATGTAGGCGAGGTAATAATAATACAGAGAAAACAACGACGGTTGAAACGTGATTGTCGGATTAGGGGCGACGGGACAAAGACTTTATTTTACCACTGAAATCTAAGTTTCATATCAAAGTTTGGTTTTTCATTCCTCCAGTTGAAGTTATTTGATGAGAGCTGGAAAGGAAGACTGAAACCAGCTAAAATATTTAACACTCACTTCTCTGATCACCACAGTTTGAATAAAAAACGACTTCACTGTTTGCAGCACTCACAGGAAACAAGTGAAGAAAAGAAATTAACTGGTGATCATGTCATTTTATAAACACTTTTTCCAATTCCTGTTTTTCATATTCACATTAAACAATTGACAAATTTCTCGACACGTAAATAAAAACAGATACTGCTTTACCATCAAAACATCAGAGATTCTTGTGGTAATCTTTTACCCTTTACCAGGTAAAAGGATGGCAAAGTTTCCACAGAGCAAATATGTCTGCTGTGCTGCTGATCTCAGGGGGAGAACATGATGAAACGCAACTTCTTTCTGGTCGAGCCTGAGGCAACAGCCGAGCTAAACCTGCCCAGCTAAGGTTTTACACCACATTTACATCATACCGCTGCTGCTTACTTCTCACAGAGCACGGAGTGAGACTTTAACCTCTCACCAAACCATCGGCCGGGCCACGTGCACCTCCTCCTCCTCCTCCTCTTCTTCAGCCTACTCTATTCTGCAGAAATGCACCTTCCCTCCTGCGGTCTCTATTCTTGTTGACAAATGGATATTTCTTCTTTCTTGCTTACCAGCGTGAGCTTACGTTATATAAATGTTTAGTTGTCATGCTTTCATAGGTAATATTTCAAAACATTGCAAAACATCTGGCATCAAAAATAAGCTCCAATGCCAAGCAACAGTCTTCAAGCACATTTCAAAGTATAACAGGTATGATTACTCGTTTCTCAGGTCTCCAGCTGCCTGGGTCTATAACACAGTATAAACAAAGATTAAGAAGAAGAAGCTGGTTATTGTAAGGTTTTGAAAGGGCATCCTATTTTTTATCAAAATAAAAGTTTTTATCACAGGGAATTCTTCCACTTCATGTTTCTTGATGTTCACTCAATTATGCCGTCTGTCAGACTCAGAACTCGGAATTTAAGTGATACTGAAATGTACTTTCCTAAATACTTCAAATCTCCCACTAGCTCATGACAAACCTCATGACACTGTCACACGTGTAAAGCCTGAAACCATAAAAAAAAACATCCATTCACTTCTGCTTATCCTTTTCAGGGGCGCTGGAGCCTATCCCAGCTGTCATAGGGCGAGAGGCGGGGTACACCCTGGGCAGGTCGCCAGTCTGTCGCAGGGCCAACACACAAGGACAGACAACCATTCGCGCTCACATTCACTTGCACATTCACACCTAGGGGCAATTTGGATTAACCAATTAACCTATCCCCACAAGCCATAAAAAATTGCCAGAAAATAAAAAAAAAACACTTTTTAAGTGTTTAGTGTAGCTTCAAAAAATGTAATTAAATATTAATTTATTTTGCAATTTATTGCTTACCCTCTGGGGTCCAGGGTATAATTGGCCGTTTTTGACTACTTTTGATTTTACCTCTATATTTCACCTTTAAAATGTGTTTTTCTTGCCTTTTTTGGTATCATTATTTTCAGCACAACCTCAAATATCTGAAATTTGAGTTGTTTTTTGATCTAAATTCAGACAAAAAAATTCAAAATCCGAGTAGAAAAAAGTTATATTTTTTACTGTAAAACCCACAAACATGTTTAACGAATAATTTTCATAACTTGAAATGCAAATAGAAATTGTACATTTCTAAAAATTATGCACAAGTTTTGCAAACAACAAAGTTATATGGTACCATTTACCTAAAAATGCAGCCAAGGCCTCAGGCGTTTTTTATATAACCATTTAAATCTATTTACAGAACAATCAGGTGTGCTGCATCAAATAAGAAGGCACACAAATTATTTGTGCCAGTCCAAAAAATGTAGTTTGTGTTCAGTATAAGACAGAGGAGAACAGCACAGGCCTAAACCTGCAGGTCTGACAGCAGGAGGTGCATCAGTCCAGTTTTCCATGTGGGAACAGCGTTTACACTGAAATCTGCCTTTGACGGCTTTTTTAGAGCAAATATGAAATTCAGCAGTATAACTGACACACAATACAAGACAATAACTACACAACAAACTAACTACAGCCTCCAAACACGCTAAACGTCACTAATGTCTCACATATGAAAACTCGCTCTCTCTCTCTGTCTTTCGCTCGCCCGCTTTCCATCGCGGGTGTCACTCCACTCATCATTTTTTTGATTGGCTGACATGGTAAACTCTAACACCAATAGGGAAGGGATGTTTGCAAAGGGAGAGTGTTTGCTAGCGCTGTCTGTAGAAAACGCTGTTTTTACCGTTCTTCACACTGTAAACGCCACTGTTTTGTTCAGAAAAAAACATCGCGTGTATTTTTTATCATAACTCTGGTTTTACGTGGCCCATCGACACAATTCAAAAACTGGTATATAGTGAAGTCCGCACTTTCGACCCAAGTTGAAATGGGGACTCTGACGTGCCGCATCTTGTAGCTGTGTCGTCTTAAATTGGTCATGTGATTTTGACGCGCCGCCGCGTCCGGCGACCCCAGAGGGTTAAATACCTGAGTCGGTGATGTCAGGATGGACGTCTCATTTGGGCTTTGTACCGTCACCACCTCCCACATCTCTCCTGTCGTTCTTCTCTTCAGCTTCACCTGCACACACATAAGACAAATACAGTTCTGACAAAAACACACAAAGTGAGAAAGGTGTCCAACACATGTGGTGTGACATATAACAAACTAATCCAGAGACAACGAACATACATGATGCCTACACTCAATCCATGAAACGGAACTCCTGCTCACAACACGAAAAGAATACAATTTCTTTTCACCTTGATGGATATCTGTGCGTCTTCCATAATCTCCTTCATCTTGGTTAGATCTTTCACCGCTGCGCTGCATGGTGAAGGACTCTTTTCACTCGAGTTTTCTTTTTCGTTCATCTCATCTCTGCAGACCTGTCGTGGCTGCTCTGCATTTACGCTCTCAGCTGCCGTGCCGTTTGATTTTCCATCCTCCAATCCTGCCCTTTCTCTGGACAACCAGGTGATGCTGTCCCCAGACTCAGATGACTCTTGGTAACAGTCGCCCTGAGCTTCCGAGGAACTGGAATCATTACTGATGGTAGGAAAAGCCACAGTGTCAATGGAAAAAGATGAAGTGGATGTGGGATTCGTTACACTGTCACAAGTTTGGCCAAATGTAGACTCTGCATCACTGGCAACGGCGGGGCGAGGGGTGAGATGTGGAACAGTGATACAAACATCCGGGCTTTGAGCTACAGAGGAGGCAGGCTCCGGATTTCCAAACTCCACTGAATTTTCAGCAATGGTTGCTGTCTGTGTGCCAACAGACACACTGATTTTCTTTCTGACTGGTGAATTTTCCTCTCCCGTGCCCGTCACCTCAGCCTCAACATGTGTCTCCTGTATTTTTAGGCTTCCCCGTCTCTCTCTGCAATTCCCAAGACTCTGCCTCCTTTCCTGGACTTCTTTCGGCCCTCCACCCTTCTGTCCTCGTACAAGGTCTGTGATTCCAAACTGGTGGGCTGCAGCCAGCACATCACTCTTCTCATTGTTTCCTTTTACCTCCAGCACACCAGAGTAAAGCAGACCAACCAGCTTGAGCAGAGTCTGGGCCTTCATGGTCTGGAGCTGGAGCTGACGCTTCTGTCCAGATGGAGGTGAGGGGGAGGCTGAAAGCTTCTGAGACAAGTACGGGCTGAGAGCTGCAAGGACGCAGCTGTGGGTTGGGATTGAGATACCTTATAAAAGAATAAAGTCAGGAGAGAATGACTCAATTGTGCATTTTGTACATTGTCTTACATCATAAAGAACTTTGTAATTTTCCTTCTTTCTCACCCTCAGTTTGGAGCAGGGTGTCACAGAACTGGGCACTGTTCTGTTGTCTCTGCAACCCCCCGAGAAGCTGCACCTCATAACCAGGCCACAGGTACCTCTGCATGTCCACATGAGCACTTCTGTTTGAAGTACAAACAGAAGCTGTCTTGAAGCAAAATCAAACAGGCACAAGAGCATTCGCAGGCAGAGGGAGTTTGCAATTCACATTCAAAGATACGTTTTTAATTTAAAAAAAGTAATATGGTTAACTTTCCAGGGCATGTGTGTGCAAAATTTATGTTTCCCTGCACAACATCAGAGGCAGAAGAAAGACATGGAGAGGAATCCTTAAGTGAGAATTCTGTAACAGCAAACACAGTGGCTGAAGCCCAACCTTCAGATGGAAAAAAGCATTTCAAAGTCTTATTTTTTTTAAGCGTTTTAAATCAGATTTAACAGGTGATTGTAAATGTGCAGCTTTTATTCTTTGGTTACCACTCAGATAATGATAACGATTAGATAGTCCTTCAAAGTAACTGCCCAAATAAGGGACTACAAGGTTTTATTATCTCTGTCAAATGAACATGTGCCTGCATGACTTCCTGACTTATCTGACTGTGTGTGTGCTTGTCTTCATCTTCTCATCTGGAAGCTCATAAACCAGCTGCCATTTGGAATTTGTCTCAGACCTTTATGAGTCATTTCATTAAGCTTACGAAATGTCACAACATTTATTTATATGCAGACACGCACATTCCAAAGATTCTCAGTGAGACCCAAACCACTTTGCCACAATTTGATCCGAATGAATGCGGCCATCTTGGAATATGTCCATGCCATCAGGGAAGAAAAAAAATCCATGGCTGGAAAAAGCTGCTCATTCAGTAAATTCAGGTAGCTGACCTCATTCAACAATGCTGAACCTAGATATGAGCAACTAAACCAACCACAGGACTGCCCCCATGGGCTCGTGTTGGTGCATCAATTTATCTGTATCCCTCAGTATGACGTGCTAATCACTCTTAAGCAGGATAAATCTGGGCTCAGACCATCTTTAAGCACCTAAGCAAACTGAAGTCTTCTTTCCACCCTTACAGCCTCATTGAGAAGTGGTTTTCTTAGGGCTATGATAGCATTTAGTGCCAGTGTCTTGAGTTTGCTACAATGTAAGATAAGGAAATGCCATGACTCTGTTTTTTTGGAGATTTCTTCCTGTTAAAAGGGAGTTTTTCCTTTCCACTATTGCCAAGTGCTTGCTCATAGATGGTTTTCTGATTGTTGTTGGTTTTCTCTGTATTATCGTAGGGTTGTTCTGTTACAATATAAAGCACTTTGACAAGACTGTTGCTGTGATTTGGTGTTATATAAATTAAATTGAAGTTTTTACAAACTAAATATTTCAGTAATCTCCGATCAGGATCATTCAAGATTTTGTCCATTTCTCCATCAAAGATGATGGTTCACCACAACTCTTACAGGTTTCAATAATGCAATAATACACTGGGCAGTTATTAACCCAGTTTTCGTCATTTTAGGAATCTCCTGAGTTTTTCCCCTGCTCAGGCCAATAATGTCACCCTTCTAAAATAGAGTAAGATCTTTTCCACAACCCCCAGGATACGTCTCCAGACATGGTTGTTTAGTAGGGTTAAATAACCTGCTGCCAGCTAAAACATTAAATCACTGTGATAATTATTTAGTGGAATGGGTGGACAATAGTCACAACCTATTTCTTTGGGTGGTGACTACTTTTTTCCCCAGCTTGGCTATAACATATGGTTCATTAAAGGGTATGTGAATTTAATTTCAGCAAAAACTGAGACACAAAAACTGCTTGTATAGAAACCTTGTCCTTCTTTCGGCTACAATTTTAAGGAGGTCGTCACAAATCATCTGCCTCCAAACAAATCTGTTAAACACTTAAATAGCTTAAATAAGGGGGGGGGGGCTCAACTATCCTATTGAATAAGAGCACAGTCATAAGGTAGTCAGTATTAGCAGACATGGAAAACGTTGTATAGAAATTACGAGTCGAATTAAATTAAAAATTGCTTTCAAGGTTTGGCTGATTTGCACAAAAATGAATTATTTGACCAACTTTGCTTAGAATGGCAGGAAACAGATCTTTTGATGATGATTAAAAAACCCAAATCAGATTCATGGTAGGGTATTCCTTTGAAAGTACCAAAATATTCCAATTGCTATTTTTTTTTTGCTTTTATTATTGTATTATTGCTTTTATTGTAATTTTACATACCATTTCGAGCTTTTCTGAATATATGGACGCTAGATAATGGTTTCATTTATTTTCTATTAATCTGAATAATACAGTTTATTTATACCTTTTATCTTTTGAGTTGAAGAGCTTTTTCCCCTAAAATCGAAATGAACATTTCTGAGTAAACTGCTCAATTGCTGCATTCATGGTTTGGGGGAAAGCCTCACTTTTGACCTCTTCTTATAATTTACTGCAGGTTTAAATTCTTGGTACAACTTGAGATCCTTAATTTAAGTACTAGGTACACCTCTAGATACCTGTTTTCTTCTGACAGTGTAATGAGTCACGGCTAGTTTCCTGTGTGCGGTGTGTACAGAGGTGGTCTCTCTGGCAGGATCACAGCTAACACCGACTCTGGGAGCATGTGGACCACGTGGAGGAGCCCTACAAATTAATTAGCATTAGTGAACTTCACTATCGGCTTGTTACCAATCAGACAACATTTTTATTTGTTTGTCTGTTTCATTTATAACATTAATCGCAATTTTCTAGACACCTAAGTCGACTTTTTTTTTTTTTAAAACAAAGTGCGTTGGTTAATCGTCGCTGTCTAGACTTATCCTAGCTAGCTTAAGAGGTAGCTACATGTTAGCACAAAAATGCAAAAAACCAAAACGCCCTTCATTTCGCATAAAATTTTGCCACTTTATTCATAGACTACAACTTAATAATCCTTCCATTCCTTAGAATGAAGGTTTAATTGGCTTAACCTTATTAAGATGGCTAATTCTGGAGTGATTTCCGACACTGTGGCTAATGTAGGTTAGCTTTAAAGTTACACTTACCAAAATCTTCCTGTAGCAGGAGCAGAGGGTTCATGGAGGATTATGTTTATTTTACCCACTGGAGTTAAAGCCAGAAATTAAAGTCGCACAGCCATATGCAACACATCGACGCCCATCACGAGTTTTTGCATCCGAGATGGTGTTGCAACGTGATAGCGACACCTACTGACCGCCCTGTGAAATGACATCGAGCGCTGAGTTATTAGCAAGTTTGGTGTCAGCTCAGAGTGGATTCACTTTTAGTTTCATTGGTTTAAAAATTTTAGTTCCAATTTGTTTTGTGATAGTGAAAAAATAAATAAATTTATGAATTAAATATGCAAGCTGAAAATCTTTACTGACATATACTGTGTAGTTTGTTGATAACAAAACGGCATTAAACAGAATCAGCGGAAACCAAAATGTGTATATATAAGAGGGAGAGTCCTTTTACTTGTATTTGTGTTCCTGTTCCTTCTTCCTGATGTCGGTATCCATTGGTCATCACCATAACTATCACAACTACGGTCTTCTCCTTGCTATGTGTGGTTGGTTGGCTAGTAGCAGATTCTCTGTCTGGAACTTGGAAGTCTCACAGGACCAGTCCTGTTGTTCCCAACCACCTTAAAGGTTAAAGGTTGTCGTCGTGGTTATTCTGCCAATGCTTTACAGCAGAAGGTGAAAAAACATTTCAAGTCACAAAATATGCAGAATTATGTGGAATATGGCAAATACTACCACAAAAAAAAAAAAAAACAAAAAAAAAAAAAACAATTTTGGATTAAAAACAAAAAAGAAAAGAAATAAAATGATGGATGTTTCCCCTCAGACGCCAAAGGTTTTGTAGATGAAACAGCAGCAGAAACATGTACAAAGGAGACTACATGAGTAAAGGGAGACCTACATAAGGAATAATGCTGGCTGTGATGTATGCTCTTTAAGTTTACGCAGTGAGGGCGTCAGCAATGTTGCTTTCAAATGGAATTTATCCTTCACATTATAAATGGCTCAGAATTAGTGTCCCAATTCTAATTGGCTGGAATTTGGTCACCTGACTCGCAGCCATGTGGAAATCCTACAGTGTCACTAAAAGTCTGGACCAGTTCCTTCTCATGCTTAAATTACTGCTACTTAATTTCCTCAATATGTTTTTAAAAGTAGAAAATACTTTTTTTTGTAGTCTAGTTTTTATTACCCCCACTTTCAACTATAATATCCACAAGTAAATGATACTGAGTGACTACAAAAATCATAAACATCTCCTTGTTCCCATTTAAAAATAAATAAATAAATAGAATCTGAAAAAAGAAAACACGGGCACTGAGAAATAATTTTCTTTTTTATTAAAAACATTATTGCTAGTTACATAATTCATTCATAAATGAGAATGTGCAACTTTAAGAGCCAAGGCAAAGAGATTACATTAGTCAACAATCTGGTTTTTTCCTTCCCATTAGTGTATCTGATGATGGCGTTGGAGGATTTCTGTTCAGCTAACTTGGTTTTGCTTTCAATTAAGACAAACTGTTTTCAATCAAACAAACAAAGAAAAAAAAAAAAGATTGCATATGCATTCACCCAGAGCACCCAAAACAATTAAACCCAAATCAATATATATATAAAAAATAATAATACATAAAACCATTAAAATTAACAAATATTCTCTTGTATATATAGTTTAAATGTGCTTTTACTTTTTTCTTGATTTTATCTAATAGATTCTGGTCTATGCCTCTCTTTCTAACACTAGCCCTCGCTCGCTATCATTTTCATCTTTCAGTCAGTCCAATCTTGAAGACAGCTCGTTAATTTGAGAAAAGGAGGCTGTCATATTTCAACTGGCATGAAAAAAGGAGGTTAAAAAAAGAAAAGAAAAATCACACTTTACAACCCCGTAGTGCTTCTTTTAATCATCCACGCAGTAAGTATCTACATCTCACTCGGCACTAAGAATAAGCATTCCTCTTCAGAACAAACATCGTACTAAAGAAATGTGGGCAAAAAAAAAAACAGACAGCACTGTGTCGATCTGTAGTCTTAAAGCCAGGCAGGTTATGGATTTGTGAAGCAGTGAGTTATACAGAACTCAAGAGTTTAATTTAAAAAAAATTAAAAAAAAAAATCCAATAACATACAAGATCGCATATTCTTGCAGAATAAAAACTTCTGAGTTCTATATACAGTACTCCCAAATTGTACGCTGCTGTGAAAAACCAAAAAAAAACAAACAAAAAAACCAACTTGACCAGTTACCCAGGTCACGCTGGACACACCCATGAGACCCATCCTGAATAAGCGAGGCACTCCAGTTAGCCCACGATTAAAGACAATCTTGCATATGTACACATTCATAAGATTATGGACCTGCAGATAAGGAAATGCGCCCACCGGATCCTTGAGATATCCACTAAGAATTACCAAGAAAAAGGGGGGTGCATTTAACAGAAAGATCACTTTAGAAATTGCCGTCTGTTCCAACAAGGAGGAGGAGGAGAATCATTCGTCTGCTTTATTTCTGGCTGTATAACTAACCTTGTACAGTTGTGGATCATCACAATCAAATGCAGAAAAAAGCAGCACGCCCGTGCATCTTTGGGCTGTCACCAACACAAGATGCCAACAGAACAAAGCGGATGACAAGTTTTCAGTGTGGCTGCTGGAGAAAAGTCTGAGTGTGCCATGTTGCGCGTTAGCAGTGGCAGTCACAGCAGTAGCAGTGTCATTTGGCACGCATACGTAACTAAAAGTACACAGCAAAGCGAGTAGAGGAACAACCGCTACCAAAACAGAAGCAGAAGCTGTACACATATCTAATTAGACAGATAAATACAAGATCCCAGCGGTAGGAAATTACTCATATTTTGTAGTGTGTGACCATTAAGGAAAGAGAGAGAGAGAGAAAACCTTGATTTCTTCAAAACAGAGTGTGTTAGCCATTTATGGAAAATCTCACCATAAAGTGTCCTGATATGATTCCAACAGTTCCTTTTTAATTAGTTTAATTAGTCTTTGCTCTGACCTCCGAGAAAATACCAAAGAAGCCACAGTCTCAAAGAAAGAGAGCATTAGTGTTGTCCAAGCAAGCTGTAGTGCTGATGGAGTGGTTTTGGAGTCAAGTGGTCGTAGTGTCACATCCGGCTGTCCACAGGGAATGCAGAGCATCGTCAGTTTTCCATATGGTTTCATTCGAGTGTTTGAACTGCAATGGAGGAATGTAACAGAGAGACAGAGGGAAGAAGAGAAGCTGCAAGAGAGTGAGTGTAAGGGATGAAGTTTAGTCATGTCGGTAGTGTAGCGGTAGTCCCCCATTGTCAGTTCAGCAAGGGCAGTAAGTGGGAGGAGGCTGTCGTCTTGTGATGCACACAATCAGTTTTTCTGCAAGAGAAGAAGAAGTACAAGTGTATGAACGGATCACATGGAGCGGCTAAGGGCGAGGCAGCCATGCCTGGGTGGAAAGAATCACACTTTTAAAGAAAAATTAATTATTTAAAAAATACAATACAGTGAGTAAAAACGTTACTTAACATTGGACAAAACGAAAAATTACAAACTGTGCAAAGCAGAGGTAACAAAAAATATGTGTATATAAGATCCAAGGAACCACAAAAAATAAAGATTTGACACTTTTCACCAGCAGGGGGAGCAAAACAGTCTAAAAATAGTAAAATGGAAGCTCATTAAAAAATCCAAATCACAATTAGAAACACACAAATATTCACAAATCTTACTACAAAACTAATATTAGGCCATGCGGTGAGTTGTGAGAGCAGCCAGTGGGACACACATACCATGCGGTGACATGCAGTGTGACACAGTGGGTGTAGCCTAACCATCGTAAGAATCCATTAGAGGCAAAGAGGCCTGCCTCTCCCCATACATCCCTCCCTGGGAGAGAGAGACAAAAAGAAAGAGGAGAGAAGGACAGATAAAGATGAGGAGAGATAAGAGTCCAAAGGAGTGGGTGAATAAAGAGGGTTTAGTGTGAAAATCCAAAGAGGAGGTGAGTAGACACAGAAGGGGGAAAAGTGGAGGGAGTTCAGGATGACGAAAGACAGAAGAGTTGCGACATGTTAGTGCAATGTTAGGTCCTGTTTTAAGGTTGGAAAAAAGGGACAAGGGTGAGAAATAACGCACAAGATAAAGATCAACTCCTGTGCTGTACCGAGACATGCATCAACATGCTGCCTGTGGGTGTGTGTGAGAACATGTCCATTCACACGGTAACTTTCTGGGAAACCAGTGTGTGAAATTAACACCATTAATAGTTTTTGCCCTTTACATTCATTGAACGACAACTTTAGCAGCTTGTGAGAGCGCAGACTGAACTCAGATGGTGCCTAAAGTCAGGTGAAGCACTGCAGCTATAGCACAGCTCGGTGATTTTGGCTTCTCGGATCAGCAATCCTCAACCCCAAAATATTCCATTTATAATCAAAAACAACAACAAGGTGTGAACTGGCCAGATAACTTTAAAAATTAAGTGAGCACTACGTTACATTGGGGTCAGGAGAGAGATGTAGCAAAGAGCATGTTAGGAGTGAGGCAGTAAATTCTCAGTAAAGGTGCAGACATGCGGGCTTATGTCTCTAGGCAAAGGTGTGAGGAGTGTCAGTGTGTGTCATGAGGTTGGCCGATACCTGATCTAAATCTTTGTCAGTAGGTCCGAGTGTGTTATCCAGAGTGTTCCTTCTCCCCGTCTGGTCCAGTGTGGAGTAGGCATCTGAAGAGGAGAAGCACGTGTTTAATTGGTACTTCCAATAAATACACAAAGGGCGAAGAATATGGAGCTGGCAGGAAAGAGAAAAAGAAGAAGACCGCAGAGGAGATTTATGATGTAGTGAAGGAAGACATGCAGTGGGTTAGTGTGACAGAGGAGGATCCTAGGGACAGAGGCAGATGGTCCGCTGTGCTGACTCAAAGGCAGCAGCTGGAAGTCAGTGATGACTTGATGCCAATGAAAGCAAAGGCATGTCGGACAGCTCTTCTGTCAGTTGTATCTGTTTGTGTGTTTTGTGTTTGCACACTTGCCTGGTCCCATGTCATTCATTGGAATCATTTCCCGGTCACTTTTGCCACCTGTGTGTCAGAGAAATATTAAAACAGTCAGAAATACATGTATTGCTCTGTAATTCAAAAGAATTAAGTCGCGACAAATACATTTTTTAATGCAACCAAAGTGCTCAACAGGTAAAAAAAAATAACTAAATAAATCACCACGACTAAAACAAAAGTAAAAGCAAATGTCCACATTCAGTCTACTTTGAAATTCAAAGAATGAAACTGTTTTTAAATCAGTACTAAAAATGTCCTGTGTTGACATTTCAACAAAAATTGCCACACACTTCCGGAGGCCTGGTCCCTTCTATACCTTAAACCTGACCTCAGTACTCAGGGAGGAGTCAGGCGGGTCCCACACACACAGTAAAAAACAAAACATGCAAAAATCACTTAGGAAACTGACTGGGAGGCAGTGCAGATCAAATATGCTTTCACTATTCTTGAAAATTCCCCATGTGGCAAAGCTGTAAATGTAATGAATCGAAAGTTGGCTGAGATGAGTAACTCCATATCAGCAAACAGCCCGTTATCATTCTGCACAATCAACTTCCGAGTTGCATTCATGCAGAGGAATCATTCAGACTCAAGTTTAGAGAGATCTAAGACGGAAATTATGTGAAACTCTGAATAGATACTTAAAAGGCCAATTTGAATAACAACTGACACCACTACATAATTTATTTTATAAAAACAAGAAGACTGGTAACAATCATTACACTGAAACCTTTTAAGCAAAGTGGCGGCTATTTTGACTCCTACCACTGACCTTTGTCTATAAGCGGCAGAGTGCTTTCCTCATATCCATTGGGTTTGTTGGTGGGAGGGTTTAAGTTGACCATGAAATCTGTCTTCTTCCAGCCATCCTTTTCCAAAGTGCGCCGCAGGTCCTTGTAGCCCCAAACTGTCTGCAGCACTAGGCCGGCTCCACGCACCTCCCGATCTGAACGATTACTAAAGACGAGAGGGACAGAGAGGGAGAAAGGTGCAATTTATGAAAATAACCCGTTATAGCAATTTCAAGATGCTCTAAAACGTGGACAGAAAAAATTATCCAAATGATCTGTATGCATCTGTCACTGCGTACCCATCCTTGTTGATGAGCACCAGTCTCTCGATGCCATTAGCAGCCCTGAGAGTCTTGGCTGCTTCCACACTGGAGCCCAGCACCTCATGGAGCGTGCTCAGTATAGACACCACCGTCTCTTCTGACACTGCTCGCACTGGCTGACTCTGACCAGCACCAGGCAGGTTATTTACCAGGTTAGGCACCGCATGTTTACCTGACAACACAGGGAAGATTAAGATTGCAGCATACTTACAACTGCTAACACTGGTATGTAATAAAGCTGGGGATTTTTTTTAAAACTCTGGTTAAAACCTTTTTACTGAAGCTCAGTTAGACAAAAGTTAAGTGTGTCACCTAGTAGCTCTTTGTTTCGTCCATCAATGGCCAGGTTGCGAAGGGCTCCGGACATGGCTCGGACTACGCGGTCGTTGTTATGAGCCAGCTGCTCCGTCATCATGGATAAACCTTTCTCCCTGCGCACCAAGGCACGGATGCATCTGCCATACTACAGACACACAAAGTGCTTTTATTGATTTAGAAGACCATCTTAACGACCATTGCTGCTAAATCTCATGCTTGGTTTTTAACAGACTTTTCACTCAGTGGGTTACTGTTACCTGTCAAACGCTACTTACACAGGGTAAAATAAGTATTGGATACATCACCAATTTTCTAAGTAAATATATTTCTAAAGCTGTCACTGATATGAAATTATCACCAGATGTTGATAACAACACATCCACTCCACACATGCAAAGAAGTCAAAGATAAATGTTCGTGAACACACCGACTGAAATTCATTTAATACTTGCTACAAAAGTGGTTGGTGATGACCGCTTCGAGATGTCTCCTGTAGGGAGAAACTAGTTGCAGGTGTGATTTTGTGCCAGTCTTCCACACAAGCGGTCTTTCAAAATCTAAGCTTTAGTTCTTTCTAAAGGTTTTTAGTTAGATTCAGGTCAGGCGATTGGCTGGGCCATTCTAGCAGCGTTATTTTTCCTTCTCTGAAACTAACAATGAGTTTCCTTGGCTGTGTTTGGGAATATTGTGTTGCTGAAACGCGCCCCCCCCCTCGTTTCATCTTCATCATCCTGGTAGATGGCAGCAGATTTTCATAAAGAATATTTCAGTTTCCATCGATCCTTTCTTCAATCATATGAAGCGTGCCAGTACCATTTGCTGAAAAACAGCCCCATACCATGTTGTTCCCACCTCCAAACTTCACTGCTGTTGTGGTGTTTTTGGGATGAGTTGCGGTGCCTTTTGACCTCTAAACATGGTGTTTATTATGGTACCAAAAGAGTTCCATTTTAGTCGCATCTGACCAGACTACATTTTCCAAGTATTTCACAGGCTTGTCTAAATGCTGTCCACTTCTGTATTATGGCTCCATTACTGATAGATTTCAGGCGTGTCATGATGTTCCACACCTCCCTTTCTTCAGGAGTTCAATACCTTTTCCCTCTGTCATTTCTAATTATTGCACATAATAATTTAGGGACACCTACGGTTTGATTTTTTGCATGTGTGGACTGGATGAGTTGTTACCATCCAGTGTGTTGTTGCTTTTGATGTAAGAGAACTAGCAGCTCGGAGACCCTCTCAAATAACTGAGTTTATCACCCTCTCTCTAAAGCTGAACCCAACCTTCAGAGGAAGCTTGTTTCTGCTGCTTTGACCTGTAGCTCTAGGCCATATGTAAGCATAGGAATGTAGATCAACCAGTAAACCAATACTTCAGCTCTTTAGGTGGAGTGTTGACTAAACAAATACCACTGTGATTTTTCTCATGTGCACAAAGTCAAAATAATTGTGTGTTACATTACAGATAACCTCTAAGAACAGACAAATCTAATACAAATCCTCATATAGAGCGTTTACTAATGTTCCTGAAATAACCTTTGATTGCAATGACTAATGTTAAAACAGCACCATTTATTCAGACTTCCCAATCTGGTTTATTTACTTAGCACATAAAGTTCTGGTACTGTAAAATCGAAAAAGATCAGTATAGATGGCAGTTCTTACAGTCCAGTGTCCAGCGCACAGGTTCTGAATAGCTCCAGCTGAAGCTTCCAACACTGTGGCGTTTTGGGACTCCTTCACCAGAGACATGTAGATGCGAACCACCTCCGGCTGATACAAGAGCTCATAGCCTACAGGAAACAGGCAGAGAGTGGACACGTGTGTGATGGGAACATTGATAATGTAACAGGTCCTTCATAAAGAAATAATCTTTCAGGAGTATAAAATACAGACATATTAATTATTGAACAATATGTGCAGGGATATGTTAAGTAGTAATTCTTGAAAATCAAACAGGATAAGTGTTCCTGAATGTGGTATCAAGATGGAGTGATATCTATTCTTTATCCAAGTACACAGACGGTTTTCTTTATGCCACCCTCCAGATAAGAACACAGCAAACGTCTATACTATCATCAAGCCGATAGGCACTCGGTAAGGGCTTCAGTAGAGACAAAACAAATGGTGCCCAACTGTCTGCTCATTAAGCTCCAAAAGCCTTGGACAGAAGATCTTCCTCCAAATATTAACTCTTAAAACAGCAGAGACGATTGACGGAGAAGCAGAAGACTCACCAGCGCAGGAGGAGCCTGACCACTATCACACCTACATTTGTCATAGTATAATAAATCTTCCTTTACATCAAACCCTGCGATAGAGAGAACGTCTCTGTTGTGGTGTCCTGAAAGCCTCTTAAAAGCACAGCGAGTCCAATCAGAGAAAAGGGCAGAGATCCCGTGTGTGTCTGTCTGTGAGATTGTTTCCACATGAATGCAAACAACATCCACTACTCCTAATCTCCCATGAAAAAGTGCACAACAACAACAGCTCATTCCAGAAGCACGTTATGATGACGTATGAAGTCGAAAACGACAAGAGAGGCAGAAATCTGCAAAACTTTCAAAAAGCAAAGGCTGTAACTCATTTCCTTTACTGTCCCCATCCACTTCCTGTCTTTCTTTTAGCGCTCACATTGGCTGCCCTTACATGACCCCTCTGCTCAACAGGACATCATCTCATGAGAATTCATGGTCCAGATTTAGATTTTTGTCCTGTAGATTATTCTAAGCTGTATTGCAATAACAGTCGTATGTCACAAAATTCTGTTTCCAAATTCTAATTACAGAAAGTATACTATAAACAATGCATCACCAATTGTTGATGCATTATTGCCATTTGCAATCAAAAAGAGTGGTCCTCTGAGTCCATGTGGATGGAGCGAGGTACAGCTTACATCAAACTGCACGTGCAGTAGCAAAGCCAGAGCAAACTACATTTTCAGAAGTCCGAGCGCTTTATCAGTTGACAACATATTTGGTGTCAAAAAAACCCACCAAGTTTACCTGGCATTTGTAACAAATAAGAGATAACTCGGGTGTACTATGACATCCTCTCTACATGTCTGCCTGTGAATGGAGCTGTGGCAAACAGTCATCTAAAGGTGGATTACGTCTGAATGAGAGACCGCTGTCACCACAACACGTTCAGTGTTTTGAACCCCATTTCTATAAAGGCTTAATTCAATAAAAGGTGTTCATAGAGCCTTTGCTTACCTTGAGCAGGTGAGGTCCTTTTTGGAATGTCTATTGTATCATCAGCTGTATCCTCATCTTTCCTTCCTGGAAGCAACATTAAACATTAACATCAACAAAAATGCCAAAACAATCTGCTGTTGACACCGAGTGTGATGGCTGTTTCAGACTGACACATGCGCTGTTAGTACACGTGTTCTGATTTGGTTAGACACGTGCTCTTCAGGGCAAACACGAAGATTTAAAAACTACAGTGCACTTTCTACAAGTGTTCCGCTATTAAGAAATAGGCCATGTTAGTGCTAGTAAAACATTTCTGTTATCTAAGCCATGATCCTACTGCTCCCACTCCAAGACAAAAGTACAAAGCAGAAGTAAAGTGCATAGCCAGGTAAAGAAAGCTTACCTTTGGAAAACCACTCATCTGCAGCCAGGCCGAAGGAGGATGTAGGGCAGGGAGGGGAAAGAGAAGAGCAGCAGAACAGGAGGAAGAGAGAGCATTTAAGTAAAAAGGAAAGCAGCCGTAATTGAGTCACTCAGTAAACACCTGTTTACACCCCAAAAGCAGCACTGCCACCACACAGAATCAGCATGTGACATGCCATGTATGAAGGCCGGATAAAGCAAATGCAGGGAAACGCCCAAACCAAACAAGTAATTTCATATTCACATAAAATTGTACATCAAATGTATTAATAACGTACAAGTGTAGAGTAGCTACAAACACATAATAACTACCTGCAGCAGCCTGAGTTAAGTTGTGCCCTACCACCTCACCACTCACTCTTATATCATCAGTCACTATCTTCTAAAAGTAAAGAGCCAAATCAGAAATAAAGGGAAAAAATAAAACTAAAAAACTAAACATTTGACATATTTATACCAACATTAACACATGGTTGTTGCAATTGACTTTGTAATACAAAGCCAGCAAATTGTAGTGGGGGCTGTAGTCTGACAAAAACAAATCAATACTCTCGGTGAAACACAAACAGAGCAGCTGAAGAGAGGATAAGATTTCTCTAAGGGGGGGAGGGGTTAACATTCCTGTGCTGATGACTGGCTTTGTTTGTGTAATGTGTTTGTCTAAGATTGTGTGTATGTGCAAGTATCAGCTCAGTGAGATGATGTGACCTCACCAAATGCTCTCGATACTGAATGAAAACTACGCTATCTCTGTCTGTCTAAGTCACACACCTTTGCTCTTGCGGGAACCGAAGCAACTGCCCTTATTGCTGGAGTAGGCGGGGCCTTGGTGGTTTGGTGTGGCCTCCAGGTAGCGCTCAGGGTTGGGGATTTCACGGTGCACTTGGTAGGACAGGTTCCTCAGCAGACACACACAGTTCTCTGTCAACTGCAGAGATGGAGAGAAAGTTAAGAATCAAAACGCCGCTTTTCTCATTGTAAATTCACAGGTAAATGTTACTGAACACACAAAAGCAACAAGGATCAAACAAAGGTGTCAAAGGATTTAATCAATCAGAAATCCACATACCTTATTGTCCACATCTTTACAGTCAATCTGGGACTTGACAATGTACATGAGCGAGTCGACCAATCCCGTGCACTCCCTGAGCTTCCTCCTCGCCTCACTTCGCTCTGAACTCACATTTCTTTAATCGAGAGGAAAGTTAAAAAGAGGAGAAACAAGAACGCAGATTAGAAGAGGTTAAAGGGGAGCGGAAGGAGTCTGCTATAGTGACTACAAAAGGATTCCAGCACATAATGCCCGAGCACACCCCCATTAAGTTTGAATGAAACTCCTGTTAAATGTACTAGTTTACAAAGAGAGTACAGTTTGACAAGATCGAGTTACATCTCTGGGCCAATTTTCTCAACTGCTCTCTGACTCAGCCGCACTTAAAAGATTCAAGAGAGCTGGAAAACTGAGTGTCGTGGCCTTTCGTCTTTTATGTTTCCCGTCGGCAGACACACCCTTTCACATAATACCAGGACACATTCTCTTTCACTGCACAGGGCACTCATCTGACTTCACTACATAGTTTGAGAAGTTTATTTACATGCTGCGGTAGGCACACATTTAAAATAAAAAAAAAATGCTGACCGAATCAAATCAGGACAGCGGCAGGAAAAAGAAAAAGTGTCCCGGTTTTCAAAAAAACAACGCTTGAAATTTGCTAAACTTATTTCAAACAAACGGAAAAAAGCAAGACAATATCTATTTACATATGTAAATAAAATAGTGTTTGACCCTAATCCTCTTCACTAACCTTAGCTATAAAAGAAGCCACATAAGGCAGACATTAAACATGTGTGCCACTGTTCACGATATGCCTGCATGACTTCTGGAGCCATAAAAGTTTAACTCTGCCTTCCATCTGTCGTTTACAGTTCGACAGCGAAGTGACACGAAATCATAAAGTGAAACTAAAGGTTAGGTTTACAGTCACAGAGATGAATATTTTCAGGAAAATCCACTAAGTATTAAAACTTAAAGAGGAATTTCTTGAGTAAATATAGTCATTAAATACTCTGCAGAAAACAAGTTCTCTGTCAAAGATCTCCTACAAGTCTTGAATTGGAAAAAAAAAAAAAAAAAAAATAGCTTTAAACAGAAATGACACACACATAGTTTCAATGACCCATATGTAGATAGCCAGTTTTGGGCATGTGGTAGCCACTATAATTTATACTATAATTAGGGCACTCATATTGCTGCGTGTATACATATCCATTAAGGCAAAACAAACAGCACTCATAATGACCTTAAATTAACCACTAAACCCAGCAGTGCAACTGAAGCTTCACTGACACAAAATCTCTGCACAACACTCCCTGTCTATTTGGCAACAATGAAGAGAGCGTTCTTGTTTGTCTGAATATTGTTAAGTGGAATTAGAAATGGACAAAAGCTTGTAGGAGCTTGGCATTCCCACTCCGTGTGAGCTCTACTCTTCAACTGGTCTGAACAACGTGAGCTGAGAAATTGCAGAGTTTGGCTGCAGGAAGGCCAATTACAACGTGCTACAATTGTCTGGGTCAAAAGGCTTAGTGACCCAGCACTAACTATGTCACAAACACGCTAGTACAACCGCCCAATTTTTAAGAGATTGTTTAGCTCTGGCATCTCCTGCGTAATGTCAGGCTGAAATTTGGAATTTATTTATTTAAAAAGGGACAGTGCGGTTTAACATAGTTCAAGTGCAAGACATGAAACTGATGTACCGCACATAGGTTTATAGCTGCTGCTAATTTTCAACAATTGTCTCTTGTTGGGCTTACAATCTAAATAGATACATTTTACAATAAAACATACATTTTCATAAAACCATATTACATCATAAATACAATTACAATTAATAGACAATAATTTAAAATAAAATTAAAATCATTAGTTAAAATGACTACAACTTTGATTTCCCTTTAACCACACTTTAACCTTCAGTGTAAAGGATCTAATGTCTGTAATCAATTTGATATCGGTTGGAAGTGTGCTCCACAGGTGGCAAGCCTTTATAGAAAAAGCTGACTGACCGAATGTAGATCTGCGATATAATATCTTGCAGTTGCCGTTCACCTTACTCCTAGTAATACGATTACTATCTTGTCTCTGGATGTATCTATTGAGACACTCTGGGGCCACCCTATTTATACATTTAAAAACTAATTTAAGAAAACAAAGATGATTAAAACTCTTAAAACTAAGTAGATTATATTTCTTTAAAGTGTGACAGCGATGTCACCGAACAGATATTTTATCCATTATTTTTAAAGATTGGTTATATAAGGATACCACAGGCTGAATTGTAGATGGTGCTGCTTGGGTCCAAACTGTCATATAATATGAAAAATGAGAAAATATCATAGAATGCATAAATAACTGAGCTGCTGAAGTGGGTATATAGTGCCAAGTTAACTTAAAACAATTCAGATGCTGTCCAGACCATTTCTGTAAATACTGAACTTTCTAAATCCTCAAGATAAGATGCGTTTCCACACCTGCGAGTAACCCTTTTATAATTAGACTTATGGCTGAGGGAAATCACAGATAACAGAGACAGGCCTGAACATACTGTTTATACTAGAAAAGTCAATGCCCCACTGTCCTCTGCTTGCCCCCCTCCCAGTAATCTCTGAAATTCCCTTCCTGTCACCCCACCCTCCCCTCCTGATAGCTCAGTTACTGGGCAATTTTTCTTTTCTTTGATATATAACTGACATTTAACCCAGAAGTGTTTACATGTACTAGTAATTAGAGTAAGAGTCTTTAACATGAAAAATATCTTTGATGCATCACTCCAATATACTCACTTTTTAAAGTCTGAATTTTTGAATCTGCTTGGAGTTTTTGTTCCTTCTACAGAAAAGATTGTTTTAATTAAAACATGCTTCTCCTACACATGTATGTATTTACACATAGCATCTTATAAAGACCAAGTAAATAGAGCTCTGATTTTTTTTTATTATGAAAAAGTTTTGAGTTTAATCTGACTGAAGACATTTGTCTTCAGTATTTTTTTTATTATGACTCTACCATCATTCTTCATCTTCACTATGCCTACTCCATGATGCATTTCCTGCTCTTCTGCTCTGTTAGCGCATCATTGCTTCCATCCTCCCTCACACATCCCACTGCTCTGTCAGTCTGTTGACCTGGCAACTTTCCACTTTCTTTTCCCAGCTACATATCTTGCTTCTCTAAGGTTGCTTCCATCCTTCCTTTGCTCCATACCTCAGGCAGCCTGCTGTGTTGGTGAGGGCAGTCTCCCATTCAAGATGTCTGGGCTTGCAGTTTTCCTCCCCACCACCTGCTCCGTTGCTCCCTCGCTCCCAGCCTGAATGGGGAACCATCACCTCGTCGGAGAGGGCGTGCAATGCATGGTCCACAATCTCCATTTTCACAGAATCATGAGACGACAAGTTCCACAGCGTTCCTTCAGGGGAGAAGAAGAAAAAAATGTTTGTTTTTTTAAAACATACAAAAACAAACAAACAAACAAACAAAAAAAAAACCCCAAACCAGACGAGAAGATTCAGTGAAAATTTTGCACTTTTCCTGCAACTGATATCACTGAGAAATTCTTAAAACTTTGTAAATATTGTTTTCTAATAAAGCACAAATATATTATTACTATAATGGACTGAGCCTTTGTGTGGTGGCTACACATGCAAGTGTGACTGGTCCCAAAGGAACAAGGAAGAGTCTGTGCTGCCTGACTCAACTGAAATGATTGGAATCACCCAATGACTGATTTTTGCACATTAGTATAACAGTTGTCATCAATATTGGAGTACTGTAACACCTCGGTGTGTGACAGAAAATAAGAAAATATGCAATACACCCACTTTATTTCCACACAAGTTTACATACATCCTACAGTCAGTTCAGGGTTTTTCTTGGCTCAAGCAGGCCTTTGTGGGGTGACTACGCTGGCTTACTCAAAAGAAATGTAAGTGTTTTTCTTTTACATCATAAAAAGTTGAGCTTAAGCCTGAGTAAATTAAACATTAAAAACACTGGTTAAAGATTTATCACAGCCTTCGTAACATTTTCTTTGGGGGAGGGCCAATGTCGTCCATGAGTGCCAACATTTTTTATATGCAGGATATACCCTGTGGACTATATTTTGATCATCATCAAGTCTTCTTGTGTTTTAAACTTAAAAGTGCTGAAGGTTTCTGCAAACTCAGGAATCCTATAGCAAATGAATAAACAGAGCCCTTCCAAAAAATATTTTAAAAACGCTGGGCTGGCTAATAAGTAAGCAGGAGCTACATTATTTCTTTTTGGCACAATGCCAACTTGATGTGGCTTTTGATCCCTCTTAGGTTCAAGACATTGCCTGTCCAAGGTTCATTTGCTTTACTTTTGGTTGCATCACTCCCTCCCTTTTTCTGCCTCCTGCAACAGAACCCCCCTCCGATAGTTTTTCCATATTTAGCTACCAGGAGTTTCCATGGAAAACAAAAGCCCTACCGACTTACTATTTTGGTTGTGCAATGTGGAGATTTGGTCCCAGAGGCAGACAGAGCTGCACTGTGAAAGCGAAGCTAACATCATTGTCACATTAAACCTTGGCAGTGTCATCAATTCTACAGCCATAACATTATGAAATAAATGTTGATTGCACAATGAAAAGCAACAATGTAGCCTATTGCCCATTTAAAATGCACAGTTTAAATAAGGTTGTATGACAGTTCTATGTATTAGTACAAACGTTGACCCTTTGTTAAATAGACAATCTGTTTTAAATCCTGACCTGACAAAATTTCTCTTTCCTTTGTGTACATTTTATATTAAAGTTTATCTTGGTGTAGGATTGTGGAGCTTTTGCAGGGAGCTGCATGGTTCTTGGTGGGATTGCTGCCAGTTGGCTAAATTACTTCTGTTGGGTTGCAAAGTCATGTCCAATAGCTGTCCAACTGGTGGCAATTGTCAGCTTTATCTAGTATGAAAAAGCTAAATTGGCACACATTAACTAAATTAATAATAGCCACCTTAACAAAAGTAAACAACCACACTGAACAAGACTGAAAACAGAGCCCAGGATCTCTATGCACCGTGTACCTGTGATAACATCCGTCAGATCCTGGTCATGAGTCTTCCTCAGCAGCCTGATCAGAGCCGGGACGCCATCGCAGTTCTTGATGGCAATCTTATTGTCTTGATCTTTGCCATATGAGATGTTCTTTAGTGCGCCACAGGCTGCGTAGTGAACCTGTAACATACACAAGCACAGCTTAATGGGCCATCAGCCACGATGGAGTGGTACTTGAAGGCATCGATTTCAAATGCATGGAGAGTGCTAGCAAGAAACAGTCATGACCTCGAAACTGTACTACACGCATTAAATAGGTCTTGGCAGAGCTCCTCATACAAGTAATTACTACAATTAGTGGTAAATTAGCAGGCTGCATTTTGTACACATTTACACATTAAAGAAATGTTAAAGGGGAGCTATTATGCTCATTTCAAGACTCATAGTTTTGTTCTTGGTCTCCACTAGCGTAGCTTTTCATGATGCACAGTTTAATTAATTATATATAAAGAAACTTTTTTTTTCCCCCATCCAGTTGCTCAGTTTTACTGGATCCTTATATATTAATATTTTTCAGAGTTAGGGGAAAACAAACAAACAAACAAACAAACAAACAAACAAACAAACAACCAAAAACCTATACATGCTGCCGGTGTTCTGGGAGTCCATCCTACCTCACAAAGTAGGGTAGGATCGGGTAGGAAACAACTACCCATTGTTTCTGCATACGCTGCGCATGCGGACAACACAAAACCCAAATTTACTTCATTTTTAAAGCCATTGTGAATATTTGTTATGGTTAGGGTTAGTCAGAAGTCACCGTCACATTATCATACGGGTAGGACGATTTGCCAAAGTAGGACAGTTTCTGATGTATTTAGCCTTAAGTAAAAAAAATATAAGGTATGTCTAAAGCTGCTAAAGTAATAGATGGTAGCAAACTAAGCTAATAGTTTATCTGCATAAAGACTATTTGTAACTGCGTTATATTTCCATTTCTAAATGCGCTTCTATTGTGGTTGAAATGCAAACAGCCTCTTAATTTCACTTTAATGTGGCTACAATTCTTTCTGACAACAAGAAAGCATCATCATTGGGGATGACCACAAGCTAGCTTGTGGGATGCTAGCTTGTCCAAGAGAAGTAGCCTAAATTTCAAATTTGGCATCTTTAATTTGAGCAACCACCTTTATCACAGTACATATTTGGTTAGAATATCAGATATTTACAACATGGTAATTATGGCCCACAAATATACAATACTTCAATAATAGTATTTATTAGTGCCATTATACCTCAACTATTACTTTGTTTTGTGCATTGTCTGTATTAAAACTTGTATGTATTATATAATAATAAATGTATGGCTAATAATGTGAAAACCTACAGAAAAAGAAGAATTGCACAATGGTTTGCAACATTAGAACATTTGTATCTGATTTATAATCAATGGTGGTGAACTCTGGTGTTTATGACAGAAAAAAAAATAAAAATGAAAAATGCAATACTTCCACTTTATTTCCACTAAGTTAACAAACGTCCTAGAATTTTTTTCTCCGCTGTTGCTTTGAAAGTTGTAATAGTCTGCATTCCTGGACCATTTTTTCATTATATTATACTTAATGTGGACTCGTTTTTCCATACACACAAACTTATTGGATGGACTCTTTAAAACCACTTTCAAATGTTTAGAAGATGCATTTGCAGTGTGACCCATTTCCTCAGTCAGCAAGTTATCGCGCACACACACACCAGACTTCAAACCTGTCACTGGCCACGGAGCACGAAATGTGAAATTAAGATGCTTCTTTGCCTCGGGACTGGAATGCATGATGTGGTTTCCTTGGTAGTGCCCTTACAAACATCAGCAAAATTTTGCCACAACTAGACCGAAATGAAAGGGAACTGGAGAAAAACCACTGAATGTTTCGGCCAAAACCGGATTTAGAACAAATGTCGCCCTCCAGGATTTGAAGTCCAATACATGCAGCTTGTTTATAGCTCACATTCATTCGGTATTACAGGTAAATCTACAGTTCACCTTGTCCTCACAGTTTAAAATACACTTCATCCCTTAAGCTTCGCTTTTAGCCCAATCATAACAACCTTCCAGAACAGCAAAGAGCGAACAGAAAGCCTTGGAGAAAAACAACAAACTGACCTCTCTGTGTGGGTTGTCGAGCATAGAAACCAGTGCTGGAATGCCTTTCAGACGACGCACATCGGACTTCACCTGCAAATCAAAAGGAGGGATACAGTGTGAATGGGCATTTGTTATATTATTAAATAGAAACCATGCAAAACAATTATTAAATCAAGAATGAATAGACAAGCAAGGGCCCAAAACAAGGATACAGAGTAACAAGTGAGAAACACTGAAAAATCATTGAAAAGACAATAAAAACCTCAAGTATTTTAATCTGTGAGGGAATTTCCCATCAACATTGAGGGGGAAAAGCATGCACACAAAATACAAAACAAAATACTTCTTAAGCCCTTGGAACAATCAAAAATGGCTCTGTCAGCTCGTGCTATTTTACAAGTTATTATCTCTGATTTTGCCGTTGCTTATATTTATAAAGCTTAGTGACATGCTCAAAGTTTAGCTCTGGTCTGTTCTATTTGTTTTAAATCACGTCTCAATCATTCCTGCACTGTGCAAACTACCACGAATTAAAATTAAGTGAGGGAAAAAACATTTTAGTTAGAAATAGAAATAAAAACGACACTTTTATAAAAGACCAGCTGAAAAGATATCATGTGCTTACAAGATGTGCTTTCAACATGACTTAAAGTCCACTACTTAAAAATCAGCCCTGTACATATCCAGCTGACATTATAATGAGAAAAATGAAACATTAAATCTAGTGAAAAAAATAATATATAAACATATAAAACCTTACAAACTTTATAACGGTGAAAAATCCTTTACCTTATCATTCTTAAAGGTGAGATGCTGCAGATAAGCAGCTGCGTTGCTCCTGACGGGATCCAGCCTATAGTTGAGCATGGCGATGACCTCAGGCAGCTCTGGCTGACGCCAGCCACCGGGGCCAGGGCCTTTCCTTAGAGTGCTGTCCAATGAAGCCATGCTCCCTCTTTCACCCTGAGCCAGTGGCGCACCACCACCCCAGTAGTAATCTCCTGCACCGCTCATGTCACCATCCAAGAGGCCCTCATAGCTCCTGAGAGGAAAAAGGAAGAGATCTGTAAAGGCTGACACTAAAATATATTATGGAAAATCAAAGATCACACAACTTACCCAGTCCTGCGAGGCGCAGCACGAGGGTAAGCATGGGGGTTGCGGGGCACAGTGCTGTAATGCATTGGAGGTGCCATGCCATAGTCGGGCTCATCAAAGCCCATGCTGCGTTGGTCATCCTCCAGACCGTATGGCTCTGGAACAAACCTTGGAATGGAGGAAAGCTCCATACCACTTCCCATAGGCCCAACCTACACAGAGACAAAGACTGTGATCCAAAAACAACTGAAACTATGGCTGCACTCTAAAATACATTTTCAGTGGCTTGTGTCTGAGCTTGGAAACTCAGACATACACATTATGATAACAGTACAATTAATTGGTGGGAAGGGAGTGTTGGAGACAGTTTGAATTCCTTCTTATGTTCTCGCTGTCTCGCCAGAAAAATGTGTCGTGTGTAAAATTCCCGCAAAGTAAAATTCTGCCAAGAGAAAAGTGCCAGAATAAATTGGGCAATGATTGCTTAACACACCTGTGGCTGAGCAGCATAGGGGTCCAACTGGTTCCTGCTGGGGGCTCTGTAGTTGGGATCTAGAGTCCTATACCCATCTGGATGAACCGGTCTGGAAAGGAGGAGGAGGTTGACAATGAGACAAAACATTATCATGGAAAAGTTTAAAAACAATCTGCATGCCTTGAAGCCTAGATAAACAGGAATTTCATTGAACATGTTACCTGTAGCGATCATCCATGTGAGCTCCCCTGTTGAGGCTTGTATAGACCTCAGATGGCGGTCCAGCGCGGTAGTCGTCATAAGGTCCCACTGGAGGTCCGTAGTGGTAGTTTCGGGGCACAGTTTGAGTGGGGTAGTCCATTGGCACAGCAACTCCAGGGCCCTGCCTGTAGACTCGGTCCGCGGGTGTAGTGTATCCACCTGTCACGGAGCCTCCACCATCCATTGACAGTGTGTCTGACACAGAAGGGATGACTGTGCGGGTGGTGGTAGTCTTTACTACTTTCTTTACCTTAAAAGGGGATGACAGTAAAGAGATGAGATATCAACGCTGACTAATTACAAGTATGAACTTTTCTGCTTTACAGAGATAGCATCCAAAGCAAACCTTGCAATAAACCAGAACAAAAACAAGAATGAACCAGTTTGGCCAGAATGCCACTCTTCCCCTTGTGTTACAGCTGGAAACTCCTTCGCAAGAAGTGACTACTATTAGCATCTAGCTCTTACTGTGGTTTCTGTACGCTTCGTTGTCCCATCTTCACTGGTCTCTACAGACACAATAGGTGGCATCTGCTGGGGTTGTTCCTCCACCGTGAATGTCTCCTGCACCACCTGACCAGGCTCCATCCTGAACTGCATACATTTCAGAGTAAGATACAAATGTAGGTTACACACTCAGTAACCTTGGATCAACACTATCTGAAAGGTGCTTACGTGATGTGTCCCGTTGATGTAACCCTCGTTCAATGTCAGCCTTTCTATGTCTGCATCACAAGGAATGCGGCCGTTCTGTAGAAATAGAGGAAGAAGAAAAAAGTACACATGACATGGCCCAACACACAAACTAAATGAAAGAGTATGTAGCCATGAGCAAACATGGACAACAGTACTGACAGAGCAGGTTTTCCACATATATTGAGCAATATGCAATACATATACATGCTTCCAAGTTTTAAAAAAGAATAAACAAACAAAAAACAAAAGAGTCGCAACCATCGCCAACTTTCATTTTAACTTATACCATCAATCGAGATCAAATAAAGTCATATAAGGCTTAACTCTAATACCTATTTTCACTTAATAAAAAAGTGTGTAAAAAAATAAAAATAAATATATACGTATATATACGTATGTATATACGTATATATATACGTATGTATATACGTATATATATACGTATATATAGTATATATATTATTATATACGTATATATATACTAAGTATATATATACACACTATATATATACACACTATATATATATATATACACACTTATATACTATATACACACTGTATATATATACATACATATATATACACACACACACATACAAAAACACACACACACACACATACACAAAATGAATGAAGGTGATGGTAGAGAGAATAGGTGAAGAAAACTAGACTTGAGACTTCCTCATGTGAGTCACCACCATCTACATTGCCTGTCCAGGAGTGGCAATGGGTGTGGTGTACTTTCTATTCCAGCCACAGATGGAGCCCTGTCTCTGTTACTACAGCAGGTCAATCATCACTACAAGGACACAACCAGGAGGGTAATTGCTCAACTCTGATTTAGAAATATGCGTCATACTGATAGAAAAGCCGTAGTCTCAAATTTACACAAGAAAAGATGTGAACACCATGCTGAAAAATGTGCTGGTTAGAGGTGCAATAAAACTGCAGCCAAGCTCTTACAGGCAACACGTAGATAAGCAAAACAGCCTTGTGATGAAGGCTCAGGCAGAGAGAAGATCAGAAAGTACCGAGCAGAGGCGAGCGTGTGGGAACTTGTCAGTAAAGACTGAGGTTGTAGTGCGCTGCCTTGAGAAAGTGGCAGAGGCATGTTGAAAGCCTCTGGGCTATAGAAACACAGAGCAGCGATAAGAACTAGAACAGACTACAGTTCTCTTCTGCTGTCACTGCTCTTTATTAGCCTGGGACTGAGAAGCGTCCCACTGAAGGCATGCCACACATGCTACAGTGACAAAAGACAGAAGGAAAATAAGGAAGAGACCAAGTTTAATTGGTATGTTGCAAAGGCCTCCTCAGGGCCAAAAAGTGTGAGCAAGGACACACCTGCTCTTTCAGGCATGCTAATGGCTGTACAATCAGAAAGCGAAAGAATGAGTGAGCGTAGGCATCTGTGAGGTAAACTCAGAGCATGAAGTCACTCTGAAACAGGTAACTGACTCAAGGTGTGTGAGTGCATCATTCTCGGAAATCAACAGTTTTACAGAGAATTTCTGACTCAAAGTCTGACTGCGGCCCAGGCAGGGCATTGGTCTCATATGAAATCTGCTGGTTGTTACTGCAAAGGTGAAGTCTTGTTTCTGGCATAACAAAATGAAATATTAATTTAAACAGAAAACACATCTGCATACTAAGTAAGACAGATTTTTTGGTACAGGAAGCGTTCTGCTCTCTTTATTTTTGAGCAGAGTCTGGGTGTATGCAGGTAAACAGGGGTTTTTCCTGGATCACAATAAGCTTCTGTATAAGCATAATTAGCCCGTCTACCTTTAAGGAAAAAGGTCAAAGTTACCTGAAGTGAGAAAATAAATAATTTTCCTGTTATTTTGGACCATTTATTTTTAGTTTGAGTGAAGTAGACCTCATGTAGTTTAAAGAAAAATCTCATCCTGGTAATTTTCCTTTGGTGGAACCCAAAACTTCTTTGGAGGGACAGCAGAGTATTTTAATATTCAGAAAAAAATGCTCTAAACTGCAGGTTTTAGATATCACCCAGAATCAAATGACTAGTTCATTACCAGGCCTCTGAATAACTTCAAGACACGTTGAGGTCATTTTGCCATTTAAATCAGCTGTGTTGGATCAAGGACACCTCTAAAACCTGCGGGACACCGGCCCTTCAGGCCTGGAGTTGGACACGTAAAGGCTAATGGACTAGCTAAAACACAATCTTGAAAGCAAAGGCTGTTGTCAGTTTAGCTTGCATTTGCAAACATTAACTGATAACTGATAGCCACAGGCTACTCTGGAAATCCCCTCTCTTACAAATTTCCACTGCTCTCTAAAGGCTAAATAAGCACACTATCCAATTTTTATATTTATATGTCTTTCTATCAGAAGCCCAGAATGGGTTTCTAATAGAAAAATCTGGTCTGGGCTTTGCTGCTGCCCCCATGACCTGCCCCCGGATAAGCAGAAGATGGATGGATGTTTTTCTATTTTTTTTAATTTTTTTTTAAAATATAAATCAGAACAACAGAGAGATGCCTTTATATTGTAAGGTAAAGGCCCTAGAGTAATACAGAGAAAACCCCTACAATCACTTGGCCCCCTATGAGCAAATGCTTTGGCGACAGTTTGAAGGAAAAACTCCCTTTTAACAGGAAGAAGCCTCTGGCAACTCTGGAAACAAGTTGCAGTTATTTTGTAAAACATTGCAACAACTTATAATTTGTATTTATTTTTTTATTTTATCTTCCCCCTGAGATGTCTGATAAATGTAATAATGCATTAGTCTCACTGGCATAGTTACTTTGGCCAATACTGGGATGAACAATATTTAAAATGATTACGCAAGTTGTTAAAAAAATAGTGGATTTATAAAGATGTTTTTGTTTGTTTGTCTTCTCAGACTTTAATTGTAATTCAACCCAAAATAAATCAAGAAAAAAAACAAAGACAAAACATCAAATAAGACTGTTCTGCATGCAAACACATTGGGTTTGTAAGGTTGATGGAAGGATATGATGATGAGGATGATTAGACTTATGCTGAATGAGGAATGGGTGGTTTACTGAGGAAATTGAGAACAGGACAGATGGATGATAGGAGGAAAAGTGTGAGTAAAAACTGCGAGGAGAAACAGCAGGTGTAAAATAACTCCTCGGAAGACATTACTGAAAGGTGTCTTCGCTTGACTTAGCTTAAGTTTGAAAACTCAAGCAGAATTCAAGCAGTTATCAAGAGTCCAGTTAGATTAAACCCAGAGAGGAGGTATGTTTAACCCCAGTCCACACAGAGAGGATGGGGGTGACCGTGAGGATGAAACTCGCTCGGATTACAGATGAATCCAAGGGGTGTTTCGATGGAAAACAATGCGTGAGGGATGGTGGTGGTAGGGCAGGGTTTGTTTGGTGTTACCTGCATGTTGGGGAGGGGGCGGGGCAAGGTGCCAGCACACGACCTCCGCTCCTCCTCCAGAGCTCGGCTCAGCATCTCAAACTGCCTCTCCTGCTCCCGCACCGAGGCCAGCAGGGAGGCCGTACTCGCACACTGCTCCATTCACACGCTGAGAGCAGAGCACAGGACAGGAAAGGATAGGACAGAGTCAACACCAGAGAGCAAGATGAGATACAACCAACACCAGGATTTAACAAAGAACAGACAGAATCACCCAAGTACAAAACATATAAAAAGAAGAGCTGGCACAGTGTGTCTGGAAAGTGCTAATGAAGTTGATATTTAGAGGCTAAAAAGCAGCTGGAGCTGACGCAGGGAGGCAAAGCGAGGCAAGATCAACGAGGGAACAGGAGCGAGAAAACGTGATTAGGTTAGAGCATGTGTGAGAAATGCTGCAAGGATGAGCAGTAAAAAGAAAGCATATTTATTTCATTAAAAAAAGATTATTCAATTCAAACTCAAGGTGGAACCAGCAAAGCAGCCATGGATGAAAGCTCCCATCACCTTTTTTTTTTTCCCCCCCCCCTCCACCTACTCCTGTGCTGGGTTAAAAATAATAAGTGCGATGCATGATGAGAGAGAGAATTACAGCGTGTTTTCAGCTGCAGCGTGTGGAGCTTGTTAGCACTTCCTCACTCCAAAAATGCAGATGAAGTGAGAAAGGAAGAGGGAGATGAGTGCAAGAGCAGAGAGAGGAGATATCATGAGACAAGAGTCACGCCAGCAAGTTAAACTAAATTTAAAAAGCCTGAGGTGTTTAAAACTCTCAGGGTGTGACCTCCACAGCAAGGAGATAACAGAAAGGCCTGCATCCCTGACGAGGGAAAAAGTCAACATGTGTGAAAGCACTGTTCAATACTACCATGACAATGATGAATACATGCAAATTACCTAGAAAAGTCCTCTGTATTTAACCTCATTAATTTACCTGTTAAATTATTGTATGGATTGTGGGACAAGACCCTGCCACTTTTCCAATTCTGACTGACCACCTTTGTGTCTATTACACAGTTACTCTAAAGGGAGTCTGGGCTAATATTGCTATAGGAAAGCAAACTATGCTTTGCCAGTTTGCTGATGTGTTAAACAAGGGGGGCTCCAAATCGTTTTAGTTAATCCCCCACATGCAGCTTTACCAGTAAAACAATGATTTCATAACAAACAATTTAAAATAGCAACCCTCAAAGGGCATGTATACTCTAAAAGGTTATTAAAAAGCTGAAACTGTAAGCCCAAGTGTAACACACCCGCCTCTCCACTCACTTGTAACTAAAATAAAGCATCATCTTTGCTAAAATATGTCTCATTTAAAGTGCGAGTCGTAAAAAAGAAAGAAAGAGAGAGATGACATGACAATATATTGAGACATGAAAAACACTTTTTACAACAGTAAGTGTGATTTTAAAATCATCTAATTTTTTCCACATTCATTGCATCTGCCCTCATTACATGTGCATTTACAGTGGAAAGGCATAAAAACCCTCACTCCGAAGTAACCACTCCAATGCAGGTATTTGCTACTCTTACCAAAGACATCCTGAAGGAAGTCCTAAAGGGATGCTTCCCATACACAAATTACCTAATAAAAAACTGCCTTTAGTTCTTGCTCGAGTCTCTAGCTCAGTTTAAGATGTTTT